TTTTTTCCTCTGTTTGCTTGGTAAATCTTCTTCCATCCCTTTGAGTCTGTATGTGTCTTTGCACATGAGATGGGTCTCCTGAATACAGCACACTGATGGGTCTTGACTTTTTATCCAGTTTGCCAGTCTGTGTCTTTTGATTGGGGGCCATTTACATTTAATGTTAATATTGTTATGTGTGAATTTGATCCTGCCATTTTGTTACTGGCTGGTTATTTTGCCCGTTAGTTGACACAGTTTCTTCATTGTGTCTTTGGTCTTTATCATTTGGTACGTTTTTGCAGTGGCTGGTACTGGTTGTTCCTTTCCATGTTTAGTACTTCCTTCATGAGCTCATCTAAGGCAGGTTTTGTAGTGACGAAATCTCTCAGCACTTGCTTGTTCATAAAGGATTTTATTTCTCCTTCACTTATGAAGCTTAGTTTGGCCAGATAGGAAATTCTGGGTTGAAAGTTCTTTTCTTTAAGGATGTTGCGTGGGTATTGGATCCCCACTCCTTTCTACCTTGTAGGGTTTCTGCCAAGAGGTCTGCTGTGAGTCTGATGGTCTTTCCTTTGTGGGTAACTTGACCTCTCTCTCTGGCTGCCCTTAGCATTTTTTTCCTTCATTTCAACCCTGGTGAATCTGACAATTTTGTGCCTGGGGTTGCTCTTCTTGAGTAATATCTGTGGTGGTCTCTGCATTTCCTGGATTTGAATGTTGGCCTGCCTTGTTAGGTTGGGGAAGTTCTCTGGATAATATCCTCAAGAGTGTTTTCCAGCTTGGATTCATTTTCCCCGTCACATTCAGGTATGCTGATCAAGGGTAGATTAGGTCTTTTCACATAATCCCACAGTTCTTGGAGGCTTTGTTCATTTCATTTCCTTTTTTTTCCTCTAGTCTTGCCCTCTCATTTTGTTTCATTGAGTTGATCTTAAATCTCTGATATCCTTTCTTCTGCTTGATCAATTTGGCTATTGAAACTTGTGTATGCTTCATTAAGTTCTCATGGTGTGTTTTTCAGCTCCATCAAGTCGTTTATGTTCTTCTCTAAGCTGGTTATTCTAGTCTAGTTAGCATTTCGTCTAAACTTTTTTTTAAGGTTTTTAGTTTCTTTGAATTGGG